AAATTTTTTTTCAATTAGTTATTATCGAAAAAAAAAAATCATTTGTCCAAGTTTTTAAACTTTGTATATCAAAGACCTGTGTAAAATTTCATGACGATCGATTGAGTAGTTCTCGTAAGAGTTTGCCAACCGTCTTCAAAAACACAGTTTCGTCTAGCCTAACTTCGAGCACACAAGTTCTCAAGGCTGTAACTATTACTCGTATCAACTTGAAAATATGGGATAATATACTGGAGGTGTTGTAGAGTTAAATAAGACATAAAAAAATCGAATTTTTGATACACGTAAATCCATGTCACCCCTAAAAAGTAACTCATACGCACTGGATGGTACATTTGACTGGCCTGATAATTTTTGTCTGTTTTTCATCAATTCGACGTCGAATCGTCATCGGGCAGTACCTTGTGAACCCTACTCATGTTATTCTATGTATGGCATTTAAAATATTCTTCCGAGAATTAAACACTGCTAATATTTGTGCATAATACATAGCTAGAAACTTTCGTAAAATTGCTTTATTTTAAATAATTGAAAGGAGCTTTTGCTGAAAAGTTTTACATATGTACGTATATATATGAAATGAAATGTGCTACGTCATTTGCGAAAAACGCCAATGTGCAATAAATTACGTTAAGAACAATTGAATTTATTAAATACTCGCACAACTGTCCCCCGTCCACCAGTGGCATGGCCTCTCACACCGCATTGCCACCCTATCAAAACGTCTACATCAGCGACATTATCCATGCTGCCGTATCGCGACGACGACATGTCAACAAAGAAATGCGTCAATACAATAGGAAAGTGTATAAAAAGCACAAAGAAACAAATTATATTAGACATACGAATACGTGTGGATGGCGGGATAAACGTAGTAGATAAGAATAAATCAATTTGTTTGGCATTAAAAGAGATTAATGTAGTTGCCCGCTGCTCGCTGCACATTTAAACATCGGTGCGGTTGTATGCAGGTGTGTGTGCTTGTGTGTACGTGCATACGTATTGGCAATGGGTGCAGCAATTAAGTAACTAGCAATACCGCTAAACTGCCAAACGCAATGATGGTAGCTGTAACAAAAAAGTACGGAGTTGTTGAGCTGTTGACGTGTGGTCGGTTGCAGCAAAAGACAAAATGCCGTTTGTAGTGAACATATAGTGTTGATGGCGGACATGCTTAGTGATTTGTGTGTTAGACGTGCCTTCTGAGGGAACATGATACGTTCGCTGTTATTTAATAGTTTACTCAAGGG